AAGCAAATTCTTCCATTGTCAAAAAGAACTAGCAAGAAATTCAATATTTCAATGAGTCATGGTAGGGCCCCTAAATGATGCCATTTGGCAAAACAAAAATAAAGAAAAAGTCAGTCTTTACTGTCCAGAGCTGTCAATTTAAATAGAAAATGAACAGAACTCAGCGCCTTCATCAATTTATAAACAGGCTGAGTATCCCCTCTCCAAAATGCTTGGGACCAGAAGCATTTAAGATTCTTGAGGGCTGGGGTTGTGACTCTGTGGTAGAGCRCTTGCCTAGCATGTGTGAATAACTGGGTTCAATCCTCATCACCACATTAAAAAAAAAAACTAACTAAATAAATAAAATAAAGTGGCTGTAGCTGTAGTTCAGTGGTAAATCACTTTCCTCCTTTCCTCACATATGAAAGGCACTGGGTTCGATCCTCAGCACTACATAAAAATAAAATAAAGATATTGTGTATCCATCTACAACTAAAAAAAATTTTAAAGTAAAATAAAATAAAGGTATCGTGTCCATCTACAACTAAAAGATTTTTTTAAAAGATTCTTGAATATATGCCTATACATAATGAGATATCTTGGGGATGAGACCCAGTCTAAACATGAAATTCATTTATGTTTCAAGTACATCTTAAACATCAAGTCTATAATTTTCTACATTTTTAGTGCACTTGTGTTTCAACAGCAATCCATCACATGAGGCCAGATGTGGACTGTTCCACTTGTGCTATCATGATAGTGCTCAAAAACTTTGGGATTTTGGAGCACTTGGGATTTCAGATTTTCAGATTAGGGATGCTGAACATTTTGTACAGGCTCAATCGCACTAAAAAGACAGAAAGGCACTAAAGTTCCAACATTAATTTCACTTCTGAGTCAAGTAGTCARTCACTGTCAGTCTGCCACACAGAAAAATCTGTTTAGCTCCTCTGATTACTGCTGTCAAGCATGCTGTTGGGTTGTGGGTAGCTCCTGCTACATGGAGCAACCCTTGCAAGGAAACACTGACCACCCTCAGTTTGGGCACACAGAACACCACTCCCTGTCCTGACCCCGCCAGTGCCTTCCCTCTGCTGCTGCTGCTACTGTTGAAACCCCTCAGTAGACACTGAATGGAAGCATCTGTGGAACGTGCAACAGCTTGGGGAAGCAACAAGATGGTCCTCCTGCCCCAAATGTCTTTAATCCAGTGGCCCACATTTCTTGATTTCTCTTGGTTTGTTTCAATTACATTCACTCAGATTTTCTCCCCTGAATACAAATCTTCCTGTGAAATGTCAAGAATCTCTTGATGATCAAATCAGTTCAATCTTTTTTTTTCCTAGTAACTAGCTGAGATAGGCCAGACCTGAGTTCAATTTCCACTTTAATAAACATGTATTGAGAAACTAAAGGTACCAGGCAGCCTGGGCAAGATGGCGCATGCCTGTAATCCTAGCAGGAGGATTGCAAGTTCAAAGTCAGCCTCAAAGCAAGGCACTAAGCAACTCTATTTTGTATTTAAATAAAATACAAAATAGGGCTGGGGATGTGGCTCAGTGGTCAAGTGCCCTGAGTTCAATTCCCAGTATTCCCCCACTCCTCCAAAAAAAAAGCTGCCAGGCAAAGTGAAACAGATAAAGACCATAGACAGTTTTATTACCACCCAAGTCAGATTTCGCCATTGAATGAGCTTCCCATTCAGTGAGACATGGGGGAAAGGCATGGCAGGGGGCATTTTTCAAGCAATGATAGGAGTGATAAGTGACATGAAAAAGGAATTGAAGGCTGATGCAGCAGCTTGGGGCAAGGAAGTTCACCAACCTGAGGTGGAGGAAGAATGCTCTGAGTAGAGACTTGGAGGACAGGTTAATATTGAGCAGGGGAAGGCTGGAGGAGAAGGGTATCCCAGGCCCCAGCTGAAWCCTGTTGACTACAGAGAAAGCAGGGACAGCCCTACTGTGGAAGTCCTGTGGATTTCATTCTCGAGCCAAGAAAAGTGACTGAACRGTTTTAAGCAGGTGAACGACCTCAGTGGGCCTGAATTTTAAACGATCCTTCTGCTGCAGTGAGAGAATGAAATGGCCAAGCAGGAATCTGTTGCAAGAGTCCAGGTAACCAAGTGGTGTCATGCAACTGGGAAGAAGTGGCAAGAATCAGACACCCAGGAGGCAAAAGCCATAGGATTACGTTATTTATAGGAGATAAAGGAGAAGAAGAATCTTAGGCTTCTGGTTTGAGCAATGAGATGAATGGTGGAGTCCTGTACTGAAAAGCAGCTTTGGGTTGTGGGTACAGCTGACGGGTACAGCATTTGCCTGTCAAGCTGGATGCCCTGGGTTTGATCCCCAACACCACATGCCCCAAAATAAAATATTATATTGAGGATCAGGTTTAGTGAGGGGTAAGATAATAAGTTCCAAATCCAGATATGATGCTTTTGAGGTACCTGGAGACAGCTCTGGGATACCCACTATTTAGCAGGTGAAGGGTTGGGAAAAAATGCCCATCTGGACTTAGCAGCATTAGGACAGCAATCTCCTAGTAGGCATGCAGAGAGTGAAAAGAGATGACTAATCCTTAAAGGATGAGACAAGCTAGCAGTGGCAGGTCAAGGAGAAGGTGCGGGAGCAGCCAGGTAGGTGGGAGGTAAACAAGGCAGGTGTGGTGTCCCAGAATCAAGGTTAATGAGGACACACAGGCTGAAAAGGATACCTGGATTTGGGGACCTGAAACTCATTCACCAGCTGCTTTAGTGACAGTATTTTCAGRAGTGGAGTGGGGGCAGAAGTCAGTTTTCAGTAGACTAATATGTGAATATGAGGTCAGGAAATTAACCCCAAAGTGTAGGGAACTTTTTTTTTTTTTTCAATAAACTGGCTATAAAAGGAAGGAGAGAAAGAGGCTGATACCTGGAGAGCAGGAATTTGAGTGACAGATAGTTTTTGYTGTTGTTGTTGTTTTTAGACAAGCAAATTAAGTACATTTCAAAGCTGATGAGAATGAGCCTTTSTAAGAAGGGACAAGAGTTGAGAGGCGGGTCATGATAACAGAGGGTTCCTGGAATGAGAAAAAGAGCTGAGCTCCACAGTGGAGGGCAGGTTTGACCTGATATTGGCGGAATGACACTTTTTCCATTGGTGACAGGAAAGGAAGGGGAGAGGCTGGATCTGAAGCCAGAAGATCTGACAGATCATTTAATGGCGGGGCACAGAGTTCCCATCTAATGGCTTCCAGCTGCCCTGTGTGTAGGAGACAAGCCAGCTCTGAGAGTTAACCACAGGGCAAGGGTTGAGGTCTGAGGAAAGTGCAGGAGGTATAAATGGGCCATTGTGCAGAACAGAATGGAGCATGAGCCAGCCAGGGTGACCTGCTGAATAGCTCAGAGGCCCAGCTGAGGGTGAAGGGATGAGCCGCYCACAGTGGCATCAGTCCACCTGGGTGTGAACTTGTGCAGCCTCAGCAGCTTGAGTGCAGAGGACAGCCACGCAGATGGGGGCGTGGCCTAGCAGGTGCATCCAGAGGAAAATAGGGCAAAGGAGTTCAGAAAATTGGTAGGAGGATGGATAAAGGGATGGCCCACAGAATCTAGGTGGAATAGACAGGTGAGTATAAGAAGCCAAGTGGCCAGTGGAAGGGGAGAGAATTCAAGGAGAGGGACTTCTTAAGGACAGGAAGTGAGTATATCTGTAATAAGAAACACTTGGGGTTATGGACAATCAGAAGCTTGGGCAGTCAGGGGGCCCTGGGTTCAGTGGGATGAAAATAAGAGCAGAAGGGAGTGAACCAAAAAAATCTCAGCCAAATCAGGTCACTTGTTAAGACCAAGCTTGACCCCAGGAAAAGGGAATAAAAGGCATAGAGCAACAGGGGAATAAAGGGTGACTCAGTTGAAGTACCTCCCCACCATGCCTGAGGCTCTGGTCCAATCTCCAGTACCACCACCAAACAACAGACAAGCAGTACCAGGAAYGGATGGCACTGTGGTAACCCCATTTCCCAGTGATTCAGCAGAGCACTACATAAGGAATACAGGACCTGAAGACACTTTCAGAAATCTTGATTTAATTTCTCACTAAAGAGGATTCATTGCTMTAATGAATAATGAAGAAAAAAAGACCTGACCAGAAAAGAGGAGTTACTAAATACAATTTGGAATTTAGCTTGGAAATCCAATTATCTCTGCCATGGACTTTTCTGTATGATGTAATAATATGAATTTWAAAAAATAGCTAACATTTATTGAGTACTTCCTATGCATGAGGCACTTTGCTAAGAACATTATGTTTACTTGGTTAAACCTCTAGAAGTCTCTGAGGCAGGTACCTTTATTATCCCTATTTTATTGATGGGGAAACTGAAACCTTAAAGAGGTTAAGTGGGTCTGTTTTCCACCAGTACAATTGCCCCCCAACTCCCTGCAGGTTTCACATCCACAGATTCAACTAACCATGGATGGAGAATATTCAGAGAAAAAAATGTGTCTGGGGCTATGATTGTGGCTCAGTTTTAGAGCRCTTGCCTAGCATGTTTGAGGCACTGGGTTCGACTCTCAGCACCACATAAAAATGAATGAATAAAATAAAGGCATTGTGTTTATCTATAACTAAAAAGAAAAATTTAAAAACGTGTCTGTACTAAATATGTACAGACTTTTTTCTTGTCACTCTTCCCTAAACAATTCAGTATAACAACTTATTACATACATTTACACAGTATAAGGTATCGTAAGTAATCTAGAAATAATTTAAATATATAGGAGGATATGCATAACTTATATGCAAACATTATGGCTTTTTGGTATCTGCAGGGATCCTGGAACCCATCTCCCACAATGCTAGGGAATGACTGTACTCTTTTAATTTTTCAGATAAGGATGAAAATGCCAATTGGTTGAGGAATGAACCATTAAAATGATGGTACAGTTTACCTAAAGTTCACCTAAATACTAAATAATGATTTTGATTCAATGGAGACACCAATCTGACTTTTAAATGTTTAAAAATCTCAATACCAACCTATATTTCTCTGAATGAGCATGCATTCCTTTTCCTTTGCAGAAAAATGGCTTCTCCTTGAAACTCCAAAGTTAAAGCAATATTTATTCTTGCCCATGTCAAACAAAGTGCAGTTAAACACTGTTCTCCTCTCTCCCAGGGGCAAGCTGTTTTCAGCTAGCTGAATGGTCCTCTCTCCAGGGCGTCTGGGGGCCTCCTTGAAGACAGCCACCACTCCTTGGACGAAGACACACGGTGGGGGCAGGACCATCACCTCCACTCCAGACTCACACGTGAGCTCTGGCACCATCGCCAATTTATATCCAAATTTCTGAGCCAGGTCAATGGGTCCTGTGGAAGTGATGACCGAGTCTCGGCCACGCAGCTTTAGCACCACGGTGACATAGGCCTCTGGCCCCACAGGGGCACAGCCAAACTCAACCCATTGACTTTGAGTGAGTTCTGCCCTTTTGCTAGTTCTTATCTCTAGTGGCTGACCTGGACTTGTCCTAGCCTCAGGAAGACTGTTGGTGAAGATGACATCCACTAACATGTCAGGTTTGTCACCAGGAAACAGACACAGTGGCTGACTGGTAAAAAGGCCCACYTGGAAGGTGCCTTCTGCTGCCTTGGATGTCCTGTTCAAGTCAACATGAAAGACGGGCCAYTCCACCTTCAGAAAGGCACTTTTCTCCCACCAGGGGACTGCAGTACTGTTGTCTATCACTTCCGGAGTCATCATGAACCAGTAGTCGCCAGCCTCTTTGAAGTAGAAGCACTCAAACTCCAGTGTTCCCTGGGACTGGTTGGTCAGGAGGTACTTGGTGGTAAGAGTCTGATTGGTGTTGGCCTCCAGCAGCAAGACAGACACATTCCTCAGCGTCCCATTAGCACCATCAGCATACTGGAAATCCACTGACACGGTGCTGTTGCTTAGTGCTACATGGCCTGGCTCTCCTAAGAGGAGATACTCGGCTTCTCCAAGGACTGAAATGAAATGGGTGGAAATTGTTTAAAAAGGTGCATCTGAGCAGCACTATTAGTGACACTGATGAAAACAGCATTTTAGACACTAGGGAAGCTGGAACCCAGCCAAGGATGAAATAGCATGTAAAATGACAACAGACAGCTCCTGGGCTCCAGACATTGAGCTCATGCCATTTTAAGTGGCTCTGTYTTCTCACCACCTTTCACGATATTTAGAATAATGAATTAGTGATAAGTACTCTGAACTCACAACTCTCATCATATTGCAGTGAAACTCTACAAAACTAGAAATAACAGTTGACAATTCTCAGGTTAAAAATCAAAAAACTCACATTTCTTATTTTAATCATGTTCTGGTTTTTAGGTATGTGGGGTAAATGAATAGATGGTGAAGTTAGCAAGAGCTTGATACAACTGACACAATCAACTGCTTTAGATTATTTAAAATATAAGACCCTATTTTACCTCATAGTTGTTATTGTCTAGTATTCAAGACAAGGACTTGGGAAAGGAACCAGTCTTCTTGGTTTATCTGAGGTAGAATTTTTTAGATGGATAAGATATGTTGACACTTTATTTTGCATGAATCACCCAAGGGATAGAATGAATATTTATGAAATAACTAGGCTTSTCCTTGGCAATTTTAATGACATTACAGCAATTGGTATTGGCCTAGATAGGACAGATGACTTCTAGTCTCCCAAGTATCAGACAGTTAGGATCAATCATATCTTTTAAAAAGAGATCCAGCAGAGCAGTTGAAGTGAATAGGACAAAGAACACAGATACACAAGAATCCTTGTTTCTATTTTGAACCCCATCCAAATACACATCAAAGAGGCAGAATTTGGCAATGAGACAATCAGTTGGCCCATGACCGGGGAATGAACAACTCAGTGCCCTTTTGGTTTGAAAAAGAACTAGTATAATTATCAGTTTATTATTCTTATTATATATATCACATCCATGTATACTGTGTACATATTCTATATGTCCAMAGGGGCTCATGTGTTTTCCATTTGGGTTACAGTCTTTACAATACCCTTGTATATTTGATCAAAGATTCTTAGAATTAGCATATAAATATGTTAGCACATAGAACTATTTTTTTTTTAATTAGCTCAGCACTTCACCTATTTCTTATTTGAGATGAGGCGAAATAATATACATAAATTTTGGATAGACTTGAATGCTTGATCATCACTTACTTGAAAATCATTCTAGGATAAAGGTGGGTTTTGTTTTGTTGTTTTCCACTTAGGCAAAATGGAAGTTGAAGGATGTTCGCTTAAGTCTGGAAACAGCTCAGGTCAAGGAAGGTGACTGATTCTGGAGCAGGTCATATGCTGGTTCAGAGCCCAGCTGGTAACTTTTGTAACTAGTAGGTAAAGAGCATGCACCACAGCCCAGGGAAGGAGTCGAGACTGAGAGAAGTCACATTAATTTCAATCTCAAAGGGACAGGTTGGTTGTGGGGTGCATTTTAAAATTAGAGGCACACAAACTATTAAAACAGCCTAGGTAGGGCTGGGGATGTGGCTCAAGCGGTAGCGCGCTCGCCTGGCATGCGTGTGGCCCGGGTTCGATCCTCAGCACCACATACCAACAAAGATGTTGTGTCTGCCGAAAACTAAAAAATAAAAGGATGAGTTCTCAAAAAAAAAAACAAAAAACAAACAAACAAAAAAAAAAACAGCCTAGGTGTCCATCAGTGGATGAAGGAATAAAGAAAATGTAGTATATATACACAGTGGAGTTTTATTCAGTCATAAAGAAGAATGAAATTATGTCATTTGCAGGAAAAGGATGGAACTTGAGAGCATTATGTTAAGCGAAATAAACCAGAAGGTAAAGGATTGTATATTTTCTCTCATAGGTGGAAGCTAGAGAGAAAAAAGGAGAAGAAAGGAGCAGGTGGGGGCTCACGAAAATCAAAGGGAGATCAGTAGAATAAAGGGACCAGGGAAAGGGAGGAGGTATGGATATGGGGAAAGACTAGAGATTGATAATGGCCAAATTATATTGTGCACATGTACAAAGACATGAGAACAAATCCCAACATTATTATTACAACTATAATGAACCAGTAAAATCATGRGAAAAAATTAAGTGGTCCACTTTAGTAACTAATGGAAGTTTATCATAAATGACAATAAGGTTGTYGATGGGCTGATCAGATTCTGATTCGACTGGAGCCAGTCAAGGAAAGAGGCCACGTGCACAGTTGGAAATGGAGAACAAAGATGCAACTGATGAGTTCCAGCAGCGGCAGATAAGAGGTATGCACTGAAGAGAGATGAACTCCATTCCTTCAGACTAGAAGATTCTCTCATGGAGAAAACGATAATTTAGTTATAGCATATCCTGCTTACTCTAGTGTAGACTACTCTATTCTTTCATTTCCCCTGTCCTCATTTCTTAATTGTATTTAAAGGATCTGCTCTATATAAATGTGTTGCTAAAAAGAAAAAAAAAAAACAGTGATGGTATTTTGATTCATATTAAAGGGAAAAAAACTAGATCTCTCAAAGTATCTTCTTTTCCATGAGTGACCTATGCATTCAACTTYTGTTCTCCATTTTTTTGTACTGGGGATTGAACACAGGGCACTTTATCACTGATTTCTATCCCCAGCCCCTTGTTTGTTTTTTGTRTTTTGAGACAGGATCTCACTAACTTAACTTGCCCAGGCTGGCCTTGAACTTGGGATCCTCCTGCCTCAGCCTCCTAAGTAGCTGTGATTACAAGACATGTGCCACCATACCCAGCCACTCATTCAACTTTCATTTGCATATTCTGGCAAGATATTTTGCTCTTTACAATAAACATCACTGTGTTTGTTTAAATGGAGAATTTGGATGTCTTATTTATCACTGTGAAACCAAGGACACTAATTGTTTTTTGTAGGAAGCTGTTACATGTAAAGCAACTTGTTTAAAGTAGTGATAAATTTCTTTAAAAGAAACAAACCCCAAATTTCCTTAAATCGAGTGTCATCTTTCTTAAATAAACTTCTTTTTAAAAAAAGTCTGAGAAAGGAGATCTGGCTAAAATGACCTCTACATGCTCTGGTTTGTTGTTGTTGGTGGTGGTGGGTTTTTTTAAATATTTATTTTTTAAAAGTAGTTGGACACAATACCCTTATATTGTTTATTTATTTTTATGTGGTGCTGAGTATCGAACCCAGGGCCTCGCACGTGCTAGACAAGCCATCTACCGCTGAGCCATAACCCCAGCCAGCTCTGGTCTATTTAACTGGCTTTGCCACTGACATTACTCAAGCCAGGGTTACCTGTTTCTTGAAACACAATTCTTTCATCAAATCTGAAGAGTTTTTACTCTCATACCATCAAGTGCTTAGATGTCTAGAAATATTAAGAAATCATCAAAAGTAGAGAAGATTAAGTCACATTGTTGATGCTATYGGTTCAACAGTTATACAAGACCACTTCAATAATTGAGAAATGAACTCAATTTTGAGATGAAACAATAAAAAGAAGTAAYTTTAAACACCTATTATATGCTCAGACATTCAAGGTGTTCCACATACTTAATTTTTTAAAACACTGACCCTGTGAAGTCAGTGTTATTGATAAGGTTGAAAGAGACTAAGAACTTTGTCTAAAAGCATACAACTGAAATTCAGACTGGTTCCAAAGATACTCCAGTGGCAAAACTCTGTTGTCCAGTGAAATCTCTCTCTCTCTCTCTCTTTTTTTTTTTTTTTTCCAGTGCTGGGGATAGAACCCAGGGCCTTGCACACTGTAGGTTAAGTGGTTGACCATTGACCTACAAACCCAGTTCAAGTCAAGAGAAATCTCGTGTAGAACCGCAATATACAAAACATCAGTGTGTGTGTGTGTGTGTGTGTGTGTGTGTGTGTGTGAAGTGACTTATAGTACTGAACTTCTGGGAAATCAAAGAGAACTCAGGGTAACAAGCTTGTTTCCAATTTATTGAAATGGTAGTGAGTTTTTTAAAAAAATGTTTGAGTTAAAAATATATTTAAAGTACAATTTAAACCATCATGCTGAACTCYTGAAGCACCTTAAGAGAACCCAGGGTTGCAAAGCCACCATTTAAAAGGTTCTAGACAGTTGACCCTATTGCCTCTTCCATAGAAGTTCATCAACATCAATAAATTATAATCTTCACATTGACACTTGTTTATTGATACCTTTAGCACCAAGTACACTCACAACACTCACCATAGTCACAGAGCACCACCAACAATAGATTTGAAAAGTCTTTCAACATTGGTTTCATTCTGATCAGCAAAATCCCAGGTCTTTAGTCTCCTCATGTCCTTTCTCCCATCCGAATTGTGATTTTCTTTTTCCAAAAACACCTGAAATTAGAATCTCAAAAAAATGATGACTCCATTCAGCGTGACTCATAAAATCACAAACTGACAAAGCCATTATAAGAAGTTGAACTTCCTAGATGATATTAAAAGAAAACCAGAGAGAACAATAATTTTCCCTGGGGCAATGACCTGTAATCGTATAAACTGAGCTCACCTGTCCAGAACATTCAGGTATATCTAACACCAAGAGTATCTTTGCACAACATGAAAATCTTTTAACTTTATAGCACATTTTAAGTAGAGAGTTTTTGTTACTTGCTTAATTTTATCAAAGCTGATAGCCAATCTGCATAACACATTTCCACATGATTTATATGCTGGGCATTTCTCACTGATCAGTTTACTAAGTATTTGTCAAACTTTCATTTATCAGTGCTATGTGGAATTCCCTACCTGGATTCCACAAACAGGCTATTAAGATTTCTTTGAACAATGAGTGTGTTATCTGAATTGCTTCATTTCTTTGATTCCTATGAACTACATCCAAAAGATCAAACCTTTGAAAGATACCTGATATATTATATGAAATCTGAACTCCATGTGGCCCTAACTTTCCTTATTTAGGAGAGTCTAAGGAGAAAACATAAATAACAATTATCATCTCTTGTCAGTCTTCCAAAATTTCTTGTTGCTGCTATGTATTGGGAGATAGATGATTCATACAGCAGTCTTTCCAGACCACCTAAGAAGGCAGGGAAGACCTTATTGGCCTGTGGCTCACAATGATTTGTGGGAAAAGGCCAATAAACAAATACTAGAACATTAGATTATAGAAAAAGATGCAGGGCATTTATAGCCAATTTTTTTTCATATTAGAATCTAGCAAACTATRTAACCAATGTAATCTAGCAAACTATGTAATCTAGCAAATCTATTAAAYGTAACCAAATACATATTTCTTAATGTTTACAGTCTCCCTATTATTTCATTTTTTTTGTGTGTCTTGTTTTATTTTGTTTTGTGGTACTGGGTATTGAACCCAGGACCTTGCACACACTTAAGCAAGCACTCTAGTACTGAGCYACGTTCCCAGTCCCATATTTAATGTATATTTAAAAAACAATTATATTATATTTGAAATATGTTTACCTCCCTGAAGATAAGAACAGAAATTAATGGAATTAAGCAGACAGCCTGCAATAAGCCAAAATTCAATGGAAAGGAAATTGGTGTGTCCCTTAGCTTTCTTTCAGTAAGAATTGGTTGAACAAAAGAAAGTGAGCTTCCTGTGAGGGAAGCAGACATCTCAAGTGTAACTATACAAATGGGCAGGGATCCCTCCCTTTCTCAACTTCCACAAAAAAAAAAAAAGAAAGAAAAGAAAATTTTGGTTTGGTGGAATTAGCCACATATTTGACCCAATCCTAACCTTGAACATAGATTGGGAAACCTGACCAAAGACAGTAGGTGAGGCCCTGGAAGACAGCATCATCCAATCTCTGGGGCAAGTATGGGCACTTAGGGTAATTAAAATGCTTCATTTAAGTCACTGATAATCAGTAACCAAGCTTCCAAAAGCTGAACTGGCTTTTTTTTTTTTTAAGGCCATTAATCTTAACTAATTTTATGATTATAATACATTTTCCTTCTCATGAAAATGACCAGTAAAACACAGAATTGTGTGATAATCTATATTTAGACTGAACAGAAATGGAATTATAAAATAAACTGRCCTACCTATAAATCATAATATGTATTCCGTTCACAGTCAGAATCCATCCTTGTGTTTTTTTGTCTACCTTGCTGTCTTTCAACATGTTATTCCCAATTCCACTACTGACTATTTAACAGTGTTTGGCTTGAGAATCATGTCAAGAAAATAAGTTAGGTCCATTTAAGACACATTTTAAAATATTTGTATAGGCGTTGGGAATGTAGCTCGTGGTAGAATACTTGCCTAGCATGCTGGAGGTCTCGGGTTGAATCCCCACACGGAAATGGGAAAAAAAACTTCCCCAAATAGCAACGTGTACATAGCATTCAAGTACATAAAYGTTTGTAGACAAATTCTAAACGCATCTGCTGAGAGGTAAGAGGGTGAAGACAAGTTGTGAATATTCTCAATGGCATCACTCAACCTTAGATCCCATGCTTTTGCTAAAACAGCTAAGTAAACGCTTCTATATTCCCTTTCACACCTGCCAAAAAAGAAAAAAATAATAATTCTCTAATGACTTTCCAGAGTTGAAATTACAAAAACTAATTAATTAATTTAATTAAACAGAAACAAAGTGTCTTTTGTCCCTCTGTCAAACATGCATATACTCTTGTACATATCTAGGAATAATATTTATTAGGAGGAAATCCAATTCCAAAGCCGTTTGTATGAACAGACTTTGTTTACATATCCAGTTGAGGCTGCTGTGCCCGGGTTCCCTGGGAAGGCTGCGCAAGCCCCGTTTACTCAGCTTCCAAAGGCAGCAGGTCAAGTTCATGCTAGGAACTCCAGCCATGGAGCGGTCAGTACAAAGCCCTTTTAATGAAGATCGTCTTGAAATTCTTACATCTCATGTTATTTGTATCCCAGAAAAGATTGATTTTTGTTAAGAAACAAACTTATTCGGCAACCCTTAGTCTCAGAGCTACGATTTTTTCAAAGATCCCAAACACCTGGGCTCAATACCGCCCACAGCCGATCTTGGTTACATCGGCAACACTAGCGTCGGGAAGAGCCGGGTTCAGGGTAGACTCCTGGGTGTAAAATCAACACCTTTTAAGAGTTTGTTCCCCGGGGACCGAAAGCGGTAGGTGGAGTGAACGCCACTATCCATTTGCGCTTTCAGGCTGCCAAGGAGGAGGCAAGGTCCGGCAGCACTTCCCGACCCCCGGGGCACAGGAGCGCCGGCCGGGGCGCGGGCATCCAGCTGCCCAAGGCTCTCCTTACCTCTGGGGACTGGCGAGGGTGGTGAGGCTGSACGGAGGTTTCAAGGCCGGACGAGAGAGGTGGAGAGGCGGAGAGGCGGTGAGGCGGGAGGGAGGCCTCAAGGGCCGCGAGGCTGCGCGCGGAGCATCCCGCGACCCCGGACTGCGCTCCCGCGCCCCGCGGTGCACCGCTCCCGCAGCCCCGCCCGGACCCGCCCCGGACGACAAGGGGAGGCGGGCACCCAGAGGGCGGGGGTCATTCCAGACCCAGCGAGGTCCGCCCCCGCCACTTCTGGGCAGCGCATCCTTTCCTGCCCCCTCCGGCTAGCCGCCGCTGGACAGGAAACCCGCAGGAAACGTGCGCGCCGGKCAGGGTTTTGCGGGGAGGGGGCGGGGCACCCCAGACGCAGACCCCCCCCCCATACCCTGCACCCCCAGCCCCCAGCCGGGACCTAGTGTTTCAAGGGTAAGCCGTCTCCAGGCACTTAAAATACGATCAYTTCTTTACCTGAGTCAGACCTAAAGAAAAGCCATTGAAGTGGCATAAAGTGTGGGCTGTAAACTTGTTTTCCCAAATGTCATTGAAGAATTTCAAAGGAAAAGTTCAGATAAATTGCACATTGCTTTTTCTTCTCCTGGAGCCAGTCTTGGTTTTTAATTAAATTAAAAATAACTAAGCATTAAAAAAAAAAAAAGATGAGTGTTAAATTTGTCTTTGTAAAAGAATTGAAGAGGATAGAGTTCCACATCAGCATCCGTTATTAATAATGTACACTGAGGTTTACCATTTGTTTTCTTTTATGCAGAACATATTATTTAAACATTAATTTTGTATGGTAATAGATAGCAGAGCACAGCCCCTGGAGAACCAGCGATTAGAAGGAAACACCAGGGAATCTTTGGGGTGGGAGTGTGATACATTGTTCTATTGGTTAGGGTGTTAGGTGGATTTACTACTCATTTGTCACAGCCTATGGGACTTAACATGTGCATCTCACTGTTTGTAAATATCACCTAAAATTTTAAAACGTTTTAAAACATGTCATTTGCATATCCTTTAATTCATCATCTTCTAAAAGGCAGCAGTTATTCACTTATGCTATTGTTGCCGCTGTTGAGGAGTCCTTGCTTCCCCAATGTTGAAGAATAACACCAGAGAAGCATGGGGAGGCAAGGTCAGAGTGGAAAATTAGAAGTTTATTAAAGGACAGCAGAAAAGACGCCTCCTGGTGGAAGAAGGGGACCCAAGAGATGGAATCYGTGGAAGTGCGGTTGTCTCTCCATTTTATAGTTTTYGGTGACACAGGTGGCCAAGAAGTAACCTGGGATGGAAGGACTTCATTAACACTTCTTTGGGATGGGCTGTCTTTAAATCTGCTGGGGCTGTTCATTAACAGTTCTTGGGGATGGACTTTGGGCCTAGGGCTTTTTCCTGGACTTCATTAGCATTCCAGGAAAGTTCAACTTTTCTGGGAATTCATTCTCAACATGGCCTCCATTTAGATTTCACTCGATATTAGACCCGATTTACCTAACTACACTGATTACCTAATTTTAAATCTGGCTTCATCCCCCCCCCCCYAATTTTGGGAACTCCTTACTGCTGTAAGGAAAGGGGGCTAAGATCATTCTGGCTTCTTCAGGCTGAAAGGGACAATGTTGGGCAAGCAGTTTGGAGTCCCCTTTAAAAATCGGGTCTATCKAGTGGTCCATGATAGAAGTTCGATTGAGAAGTAATAGGCTGGAGGGCCCTTTGAGTAGATGAGTGGTCTATAAGAGAAACAAGAATTCATTAGTACTGGAACCAGATTGATGCAGCAATAAATGCCACAGCACAGGAATATGCCAATGAGACCACAGGAGGACAGAAAGCCAATCAGTGCATTTGCTATGAAGAGGAGGGTCATCAGAGAAGGGAGACATCCCTGATGCTTCCAAGGGAAGCCACATGGTCAAGCAAGGCCTGGATCCATCCTAGCGCAAATGGCACTAGCGGAACTGAGAAGCTGCTGTAGGCCCCAGGACTCCCATGGAAACACAGCTGACTGTTAACAATAGATAGAAACAAAAGTCATTTTGACTTGCTTCATCTTAAACACTTAGCAAAGACAGCTAAAGCCAAAACACAGCTATTCCTGGACATTTTAAATAATAATAATAGTTAAATGTAACTTCCAAGAATAAGTAAACTGGAGACTACAAAAGAGATTCTTAGGCAGGAATGCCTGATAACTTGCTCTATGGTAATCTTTCAAAAGACACTCTTCCCACAAAAAGCCACTATTTGAGAGTGGGAGGACCTAAATCCAGAAACAAGCCTTTATAGATATGTTTGGTCATTTTTAAAATAACAGTTTCATTGAGATGTTTGATCATTTTTGACTTAGAATTCCTTGCCAAAGTGTATTACAGTCTTTATTAGTTAAGATTTAGTTTAATCTTTTTTGAAATAAAAGTGAAGACTGAAGAAGGCCTTTAAAAAACACTGGTGAACTAAATCATACTGAACTAAAACTGACTCTCAAGACACACACATTGAATTATTTTAGACTAGCAACTAATCTAATGATCTATGCAGACTACAAAATCTGGACTCAGTAACTCCCTGTACACAAACGGAGAGATGTTTTATTTCCCAAGTTAGTGCTCTGAGATGAAAGCCATAACTGACTCATGATTTCATATCAGGACACAAGGAAGAACATGAATGATCCAATTTTCACACTCTAATAACAGCTTATAAAAACAAGATCTTACATGTGTGTAACCTGACTTTTTAGGAGTCTCTCCCACATCATGGATATGGCCCATGTCTTAAAATTTAAATAAGAGCAAATCTCAGGCTAACCCATAATGGGTCTGGTTGAGAAGCCTTGTGGGAAAAGGGATAAAGAACATAGATTTAGGTTTGTTAGTCAACTTAAGACACAGTACTATTATCTGAAATTCACTCAATACTTTTTGTTTTGTTTTAGGTACTGAGGATTGAACGTAGGGGCCTCATGTATGCTTGGTAAGCACATTACCAATGAGTCACACCCCAGCCCACCCATTCAGAATTTACTTGTAACATCACTAGCTTAGGAGAGTGAGGACTCAAAAAAAAAAAAAAAAAAAAAAGCTATATGACAGTCTTTGAACTTAAAGAAAGGAAATCTGGGCAAACAAAGGAGACATGTCCAGGAATGGGAATAGGCACACCTCGTGCTGTTCCCTTGACCCAGTGCCTTCCACTTACTGGCAACCTCTCAGTCTTTGTGGGCCTAGTTTACCAGGTTCTCCTTCTCCCAGAAAGCCTCCCAGAGCACTCCATCAAAACTGAAGGTTCTGGGCTGGGGATGTGGCTCAAGCAGTAACGCACTCGCCTGGCATGCACAGGGTGCTGGATTTGATCCTCAGCACCACATAAAATAAATTAAAGATGTTGTGTCCATYGAAAACTTTAATAAATATTAAAAAAATATCTCTCTCTTCTCAAAAAAACAAAAAAACTGAAGGCTCCCTCAGTCCTCCACAGTATGGTACTTGTGCCCTATCCATGGCACTTCACTCCACCTTCAGTGAAAAGTTGTTTCCATTTCTCCAACAATCCCACCATCTTCTTCAAGGCAGGGCAGTATATTATTTGTATTATCCTACCCCTTTGCCTAATGCTTCATAAAGTTCCTCACAGAAAACCTGTATGTATTTTTTTTWAAAAAAAGATTCTTTTAGATTGAATTGAATGGGAGCTAAAGTAGGATAAAGTGGAGGCAAATTATAAATAGGTATATACATCAAGGCTAATTCATTCAGTAAATATTTATTGAATGCTTACTGTGTGCCAGGCCCTGTTCTAGGCTCTGGGGATATATTTACGAACAAGCCAGACAAAAATCTCTGCCCTTGTGGAGCTTACACTCTAGATCTATCATAAGGTATGGGATCAGCAATAAATTTACATAAATCCAACCATTTGTATTGGCAAAAAGACACACATTTAAATAGTGTAATTTTTTTTTTCCTGTGATGCTGAGGATGGAACCCAGGGTCTCACACATGCCATGCAGGTGCTGTATTACTGAGTCATACTTCTAGCCCTAAAATGGTGTATTTATTAATGCTATAAAAGTCTATTGTTGGTATGCAGTTTTTATTATATATTGTACTTACTATATGCATGACATATTCACACCTACATATCACTCCACAGGGATTCAAACTATAAGATTATAAAGAGAACTTTATTGGCAATTTAAGAGATTTTCAAGGATCATGTTGAGCATGCTCTATTTTGTCCTTAGGCGAAATCTGTAAAACCTAACCACCTTTAAGCTGTGACTCCATTGAAGATGCTGAGATTGGTGGGCAAAAGAGAACCATTTTAAATATATGAGTTTGAGAGTGATGAAATGATGAATCGACATTCTGATCAGCTTAGTCTGGTGACAGGGAACTAGAGCTACACATTCACACAAACATACAGGGTCTACACACGATGGGATTCACATCCAGCATTAAGAGGAGGAAAAAAAACAAAACAGTTCGTGACTCATTTCTCATGTTTAAAGAAAACTAAAATAGTAAGCACTTGAAGTCATAAATATTTATAAGCAATGCTTAATTATAAAATCTAAAAGAAAAATTCTTAACATACTGGCTTGGTATGACTAAAAGTTTATCATTTTCACAAAGTATTTATAAAAGAACACCAACATAAGAAAATCATTTTAATATTTTGCAATCATTTTACTATATATACATTAATATCAGTCATTTAACCCTGAAAACAACCTTCACTTATACAATGTAAAAAAATTTTTCTTGACAGGAAGTGATATTTATTGAGTGCTAGAAATACTCCATTATCATAAAGCTACAAAGAGATTCATGCTCCTATGAGCAAAGTTAGGAGAACAAAAATAATTATACCAGTGATAAGCACCAAGGCAGAACATTTTTGCACTTAGGGCCTGATTGGTTGTATCTAAACATAACCTCTAACAATAAAAGACAAAAATAACACCTCATTTGGCAAAAA